CCCAAACCCGTAACCATCTTAGTTTGTAAGGCAAAGAGTTATATATCTAGTATATATATAAGAATTGACTAAATATGTGATATTTATATTATATTTTAATAATTAAATTGAACAATGATAAAAAAAATATATTGAATCAGAGGGTATATACCAATCATTTTCGTATTGTATGTTATACAGTTTGAAATATCCCCAACTTTTTGAAATCTATTTCCCATCTATCTAAGATTCAAGCTTAAAGTGTTCAAAATGGAGGTAATTAGACCTCTTAATTAGGATATTCTCCTTAATTCATGGACATGAATGGAAAAATAGATTGGTAATTGTAATGAATTTTCTTGCAATATTTTGGCTTCTAGCAATTAGAATATATATAAAACAGATTGCGACTAGGTTTTTTTTTTTTTTTTAATTTAATTATCAATGGCAACAACCTTAATTTATTTCTTGCAGATTACAAAATGAAGCTAAATTGCAATTTGCAAATATAATGGATCAGAATAGATCCCTAAAAATTTACAAAAACACTTCCCCTCATTACGCTGACCTAAGAACACTGCTACACTACTTAGACAACATCACTAAGAAGATGCCTGTGCCTGTTGTGATGCTTCTCCATGAATACCCCTGAAGCTCCTTACGGTCCTCCGCCATGTCTTTCCAGCGGCACCCAAGGGAGACCTGTTTCTGATCTCCCTACCTCTAATCAGCTGTGACCTCCCAACCCCAAGTTGCCTAATTAAGCAGATGTCGATCTCCGCGGCAGTGTCGACAGGGGAGAAACCGCTTCCTCCGCCACTGTTTGACAAGCTCTTGCTGCCCTGTCCTCCACACTTCTTCCCGCAGCAGAGCTTCTCTTCCGCCGCTTCCGCAGCCTTAACTCCTTTGCTCTGGCCTCAGCTTCCTCTTCCAGCTCGGTGAACTTCCGAAGCAGCTCATCCGAGGATTTCTTGTTAACGTGTTGAACGTTATGGGCTTCGGACTGGCATTAGAATCAACAGCAGGAGTTGGAATTTCCATTGCAATGAGGGATTTGACATAGGGAGAAAGAGGGAGATTTTTTACCGGTTGTGACTAGTCTGAGTACCGAATTAATTAAGTGCGAACAAAAGTACCTTTATAATAAATTATTTTTTGCTGATAAAAAAAAAAAGTCTTATGGTATTTAATCATTTTTGTTTAAAAAGCGATCGACATATTAGGTGGAATTGTAAACTCATACAGTTGCTTCATCGATGTAAGTCAACAGCTTGAGTACCCATTGTATTTGTATTAATAAAATAGTTGTTTAACCAAAAAAAGTGGAATATCTATAAAGAATGTTGCCTTTTATAATGCATGTCAAAAATAAAAATAAATAAGTTTGTAAAAACATAAGTTCTAGTATCCTTAAAATTATAATTAAATTCATTTCCCAATATATTTCAGGTTAATTCATTATGATATTTTACTTTTTAAAAAATTATTAGTACACTATTTGATTTGATATATTTTTTGACATTTTATAAATATAATTGGTATAGTCAATTTTTATATTTTAAATACATAATTATATTTTAGATCTATTTGTTTTTAATTTCAAATTAAAAAAATAATAACTTTTTAATAAATACGTTATATAATGCATTAAATATTTTAAATACTGTATAAATCAATATCTTTTTTTTTATTTAATTTTTATAGGACATGATAAGTAAATTAGCCATGTGGGGAGGGGTATGGAGAGGAGAACGCACAGGTTTGAATTTTGAACTCTTAAAAAGGGACAATGCCTATTTGGTATCACGTACATGATTGTTATTGATCATTTTAGGATAAAAGCTATATATATATATATACATATTGTAAAGTTATACATTTCATTATACAATGATAGTATGTAGCGAAAACCATCACTTTTAATGATATAAATAACAGAAACTATTGCTTTTAATGATATAAGTAACGAACACCGTTGGTGTGTAATGGAGTATATAATTTTGTTGGATGTATGTATTATTTCCTTATATATATATATGAGTAAAAATTCACTTACACACAAATATTACACACTATACTTACATAAAAGATAATTATTTTTAATAAATAAGTTAAAAAATAAATACATTTCAATTATTTAAAATTGAAAAATGAATAGTCAAGATTTTGTAAAAGTGCAGTATATAAGACTTGTATGTAAATATATCCCTATTTATATATATATATGTCAAAAAAAAATGTAATACAATCCGAATTGTATCGAATTGCATTATATTAACCATTAGATAAAAGTTGAGTCCTGTGATATCAAAGTACTCCTCTCATCTAGTAATCCCTATTTTACAGTTTAATGCAATCCAAATTGTAAAACAGGTTTTCACTTATATATATTTGATTTTATATGATAATTCTATGTATATTCGATTTAATTTCCTTTGGCCATTGAATTTCGTTTTGAATATGATGATTTTTTCTTTTTTCCTTGAGAAGCACCAATTAATTTCAATAAAATGTGTATATAATCATGCATGCGTCCAAAAAATTCAATACATGTTCTCAGCTTGGATGTGAACTGTAATTTTCAATAAGTATATATAGTACTACACAGACTTCTTAAATTCTGTATTTTGTCGCTGTTTCTCCTTCACTCCATAGAATTATAGATAACTGATGAAACGACAGTCTTAATTAATGACATAATTATCTGTCTAATTTGCCTCTACCTAAACAAGAAACGCTGTTTTTTTTTTTGAACAGTAAAGAAAATTTAATTAAATATTGAGTACAAGGAGTACTCAAACCCATTTACAAAAGCTGTATATAAGCCTTTCAATGTTAATCCCATCTTTCAGATCCTTCCTTCTACTTCTACTTTTTCCTCCCACAGTTAATAGAAAGACATGAAGCAGCGTTTCCTTCTACCTAAACAAGAAACGCTGTTCTTAGAGTATAATTATGGACTACACTTTTTTTTTTTTTTTTGCCCACCATTGTTTGCATCATACGTCATCCTAATTAAACCTTTGTATGCTTATGAAGGACATCATTAACCAATGCTAATTGTTGTTGCTGTCTGCATATATGTAACATGTAGTACTATATATCTTAGTACAACTAGATGCATTGACTTAATTACAACTAGTTGTAGTAAAATTAATAAATAAAGCAAGATCCAAAGCTTAAATTTGTGTCACTTTTCATTAATTAATTATTTTTGCTTTCTAGTGAGTAATGCATGCATTCTAATTATTGCTTGATGATATTATTGATCATATTGTGTGTGAATGAGATATTCTTAATGATTGGAAATACAAATACTCACACAATTATATTCCCTTTCTTTCACTTCTTATTATGAGTATATATATATATATATATATATGACAGATATTAAATGTAATACACAAAAAGATAAAAAAGATATGTACAGTCAGTTGGAATGGAAAGGCACAGCTGGGAGAGGATCCATCCTAGCAAGCGCCCTTTTGTATATCTGTCAAAACAAGTCATGTTTTTATATCAATTAATGCCCACATTTCCTAGAAATCATTCTAAGTATAATATAGTGAAAAGAGCACATCAAGGCATTAATTGATTGAGGAGTATATCAAATTTAATTAATATCCATTTGACAAGTACACTCTTATCCCTTCCATCTGATCAGTGAAAACAAATTTGATGGATCAGGATTGGCTCTCTTGGATGAAGCTTTATCTATTACTTGTAGACCAGGTAATTTGCAGGCATATAAGGGCAAGAAACCCACGTTGTTATGTAAAAAGAGAAGACTTAGTAATTTTTAAGTTAATGATTTCTCATTGGCCACTTATGTGTATGTATATATACTCTCTCTCAAAATAATTGTCATTTTTTAATTTTAAATTGTCTTAAATTAATTATTATTTTTTGTTTTTAATAATTAATAAATAATTTTTTTACTTCAATTCTACCATTATTCATTTTTTTAATTAATTATCCTATTACAAAAAATCTCTTTTATTTTTTAATTCTTTTAAATGTAATATAAATAAATATATAAATTATTTTTAATTTTTTATTTTAAAAATTAATAAAAAATAAAAATTATTTTAAAATGAAGAAAATAATATGATTTCTTTTAAACAAGAAGCGTGATGACTAAGACTGAGTAAATGAAGGGACCCGAAAGAGAAAGATGAAATGTATATTCTATAACCAAAGCCATGACAAAGAGAAGAGTGCAATATGGATACAAAAATTGGAAGTGATTGAAGGAGCAAAGACAAACATGTTCACATTTCCTCGTTTTTCTGGAAATTGAATTGATGGGTCTTAATCCATCCCATGACATCTCACTCGGAGCTGACACAAAATTTTGTCTTCTTTCTTTTCCTTGGTTGGAATTGGAATTGCCATTGGCATTGGACCATGATTTCACATATGTCCCTCATTATTACCCTATTCCATATTAGCCTAGTTAAGCCCATCAACCAAATCAATATTTAATTTGGATCGGACTGTCTAAACCCCAATTATGAGTAGGCCCAAAGCAATATAATCAGTAGTTTTTGTAAAGTCTTCGTTTTACCCTCTCTACTACATTGATTTTTTCTTTTTTTAAATAATTTTGCAAGTGTTTGGTTTAAACCGTTGTTCGGACAAAGAGGATGCACTTAAACGTGACTCGACGCCACTTAGCTCGAAGCCCCAAGTGCCTCTTTACTAGATTGGTTGAATTGTAAAGTAAAAAGTTTTTAATATTAAAAACTTAAATTTTATTAATATTATATTACCTGTACTTCAAAATTAGTTAATAATTAAAATTTTAAAATTATAAATTAAAAATTTTAATTTTAAACTTTAAGTTAAATGAAGAGAGATTTAAAAGTAAGAAAAAATCATTCTTTCTGGATAACCCATAATCAATGTAAAAAAAAAAATTATACAGTCTGCTCTTTTTTCTTATTATGTGATCAGTAAGTCAAAACTTTATGGGTCTAAACTAAAGTAAGATATATGAGATCTTACATTACTCTGATGATCCCATGAGACAATAATAACTAAGCAAATCCCTATCTTGTCCTTTGTTGTTCCTTCTTTTCCATGGCGGACGAGTCTCTTTGCCTTTTGCAATCAGATAACCCACATGACACAGGGTCTAAGGTTTGTGTGCATTCCTTCACTTTCTTTCTTCTTTGATTCTCAGTTTCTCACTGTTATATTGGGTAGGGAAGAATGAATCACGGGCAGCACTGCTTCTGAATCTGTTCTAGTTTACATCCCATGTTTCTTTTAATTTATTTCACTGCTTCTGAATCATGGGTAGGGAAGAATGAATCATGGGTAGCCTTTAGCTTTTCTATCTTTGAATGAATAACAAATTTTACTGATGAATATGCAATATCCGTTGTGTTTCTGTCATATTGGTTGTTTCTGAGGTTTTGTTGAACTGATTCTAAGCAATATAAGAAGCATTTTGCTGATTTAGGCTGTAATCATAGTTTATTTTGCAAGATTTAATGCTACAATTGATTTGGTGTTGAGAATGTAAGATGGCTTTCCTTTTAATCGACCATGACTTCAAGCTGTTCCATTTCTTTTGTTAGCATCCTTGGTTTTTTGGTGGAGATGCATCAAAGTGTTTCTTAGGCGGATGTAGTTTAAAATGGAACTATTTTAATTTCTGGTTTTATCATGAAGAAGATGATTCCTCTCTCCTCCCACTAGTTTCATTGAAAAATAAAAAGAAGGTTCTTGCATTATGCGTTAAAAATTTGGATTTTGTAGAAGTTGCATGCAAATGTCAAACCTTCTCTGTTTAAGTAAAATTTTCAAGCATCATTCAATGGATTCTCCCAATATTTATAAGTGTGTCTCCCTGAAGCTTCAGACTTGAGATATAAATAAAGGCTCTCCGTTTTAATGAATAGGTTGTTGTATAGATTGTTTTCACATGATTGACAGTGCATGATGGTAGCAAGTAGTCCATTTTAAAGTTAGGAGGAGGGTAAAAAAAATGTTCTTATTCCACTTCTGGCCCATTTAGATGAGAACGTACTATTTTTATGGGGTCAATTTGTTTACTTGTTTGTCCTAGATGATTGAAATTGGAAAAAAAGGCAAATCAGCCCCTAGAATCTTCATTTGGTGGCAAATTAGCCCCTCACCTTAAGAATGACTTTTTAGGAAGATTATCAAGGGTGTAAGTCAATGTTCACCCTCAAAATTTCCACATCACTAATAGGTCTTCAAGTTAGGGTAACCAGGAAATTATTGAGGAAGGACCATAATGGCACATGGTTTCTAGATTTCCCAAATAGTGTTCTTCTTGAGAAAGCAAAGCTCAGTTCTTCCCTTCCTCTTTTTGTTACTGTACTGGTTTTATAGGATCCTAATATGGTCTGCTGAAGTGAGCATTCAACAGATAAAGCTTTAAAAGTATTTGATCCACATAGTTTTTTGTTTATGGGATAAACAGGTAGATATTTGTGTTGTTAGGGTATTCCTTTCCCTTGGGACTCCTCTTTTTTCATAATGATAATGTAGCATAAAGTGATTTGATGTGGATAGAATTTCCTAGAAATTGGGAGTATAGCAAAAGGAGTGCATAGACAATGCACCCTTGCTGCATCATCATATGTTGTTTTCTTACGCAAAGATCCTTAATTTTGCAACTTATTCTATGTTCTCATTTATAGCATTGTATTTGAATTCTTTGTTCCATTCAATTTTGCAACTTGTTGTTCTCATTCATGGTATTGTATTTGAACTCTTTGTTAATTGTTCCATTTAGATGGATGGCTAAATCAGAAACTGATTTGCAATTTTTAGGTTTTTAGGTTTTTTGGCTTTCAAATGGTAGCTGCTCTTCCAAATCACTTTTGATGCCAGATGACCTTTTGGAGACATTTTGCTTGTGAATTTTCATGTTACATATTGGACTTTTTGTTTTTTCTCGGCAGTCATGTTAGAGTAATGTTTAGTTAATGGGTTATGCGAAGTGATACACAATGGTGTATGGTGCAGAATAAAATGTTCGTGAGAGGTATCATTTCCTTTTCATTCATTAAGTTTACTAGTAACTTCACAACTAACAAGTAAGACTTTCAAGGTGAAAATTAATTGATGGTAGAGCTTCTGAATATTACATTTTACTGTCAATATTAAAATGGAACAAACTGTGAGCTTTTTCAATTATTATGCTCGTCACTCATAGCATAGTCCATTCACTTTGATTTTTCATAAAATATGTCACCAAGCTATTATAACAGTTGTCATAAACTGAATTTTTCTTTTTTTTTTGGAGGGGGCGGGGGAGGGACAAATGGTTGTAGCTGGTCTTCAGACTCTGGACTTTCTTATAGACTTGCCTGGATGATTTTACTTGAAGTGCTGAATAGAGAGCATGAAAGCTTAGGTATGGCACAGTGAAGTAGTAACTGACTGATTACCATGAAGAGAAATCCTATAAGCCTGACAATAAGAGCAAAGCACTCATATGGTAAGTGCTTTACTGTTTGATTGTGATTTTTTTGTACATGAGAAATAAAAAGTGCATTCTTTTTATCTTTGATATTCTTGTTTACTTTTTAAAGTAGTGAGCCATATGTAAATAGTAGTGTCTTTATGTACTTTCTGGCAAAATGTAACCAGAAAACAACATTAAAACAAATGTTGAAGCAGTATAAATTCAAGTTCTAATAAATTTCTGTAGTATGGGTCTCATTACAAGCAGGAATCCATTATAAGAAAGCATCTGAGTATACTGTATAGTGTATACAAAATTGTTTCTATGGTATAACTTAAAGTGGAAAGTATAAGATTTTATGGAATCAAAGAAAAAAAAAAAAATCATCCTTGGACATAATGAGGAAGGAAAAGAACCAAATATAATGTCTTCTTTTTTCTTTTTTTCCACTTTTAAACAAAACTGAAATTTAATATTTAAGAAGGAAACTTGCTTTTGTCTCTTGGGAATTAAAGAAGAAATGAGGAAAACTTCTCAAAGTAAGCACTAGTTTATAGAGGTCAATTTATTAATTAGTTGAACTTTAAATTTCTGAATTTCCTCAAAAGGGGGAGGGATAAGATTAGTTTTCAAGAACATATGTTATTTGTGATTTGGTGAATTTCTTTAAAGGCTTTTGGTTTCTGTTTTTCATTGTCTTATGATTCCTTAATCTCTTATAATTTGTGTTCCATAATTGATCTCTGATCATCTTAACTATGAAGCTTGAATAATTTATGCATTGTTATTTTTCTGATTTTGTGTGGCTGGATTATTACATCTTAAACATAATACTCAAATGGAATAATTAGAACATCAAACCCCATCTGAAACCCTTTTTACTTCTCATACTAAATCATCTAAATTGATAGTCAGGTTTCACAGTAGCCTTCAAAACCTACGAAGAGTAATATATAAGGTCTACTGGTTCCTGAACTCTTAGAATATCGTTTAGCTTAATGAAATCAGACGCAACCAGGACGGCTTAAGCTCTTATAACTGAGTCTTTTTTCACCAGAAGTTCTCTATTCATCTTTCTTGTATAAGTTCTGCCGTCCAATTAAACAGCTAACTATGTGACAATGCCAAGCCCTTGAACTTTAGAGATTTGAACAGCAAAGCAAAACCTGAATAATACACTACAACATTACTCGCCTTGACTGACCCCTGAATCCCTGAAGTTTTTTATTGTGCTTTATTTTTTTTCAGGGATGTAGCTCTTAGCAAGTGTAGTTTATTTTCTAAAAACTTGTCACATCTAATCAAAGTCATTTCTGCAGCTAGAAATTTTAAAATTTTATTCCTCGTGATCTCAATTTATTATAAGATTCCTAACTGATCAACTGGATGTAAACCTGTTTCTTAAGGTTACAATTATTTGATGTCTGATGCATTTCCAGATTTGCTTGCATATTTAATTGCCAAAGAATACAGAACACATCTCTCTTAAATTTGCTGCTTGTGCCAGATTTCCACAAAGGCTTGTCCCAGTGTTTCAAACAGCCAGCCTTGGTGGGAAGGAAATGACCAATGATTAAACTGTGATCTACTATCTATGACCTAAGAGCTTATGGAATTGATCTAAATGGGATGATTGAGGGATATGTTGAACTGAAAAAAATCATTTCTTAACATGAATTCACTGTCTTTTGTCTGATATATGGATTTGGGCTAAATTAAAGATAGATATTGAATGTTTTTTCATTTTTGAAGCTGTTAATCTGTTTCCTTTTTTATTGACTTTTAGCTTTATTATGCCTGAAAAATCAAATCCATTAGCATCCTGTGCCCCTTTTTAATTTTAATTGACTTCGTTTATCAAAATTAGCATCCTTAGCTTCACAAATATAATTTTCTTCCCTTTCATTCATTGGAATAGCTCATGAGCTCCATGCAAGCAGATTTGTTTGACCTTTGAAAATTGATGGTGGTACTTAGTGTCTATTTGGAGGACACATCACAAAGTTGGAAGGGTCTTTGCAGAAGCAACCCCAACAATGTAGAAGAGACAGGGAGAATTGATGCGGCAAGTAAAAGAGTGTTTCTCGCGGCTTGTGACTCTCTACCCACTCTTGACGCCACATACATACCCTAGCTTGCATATGCTCTCCTCTCCTCAAAATTAAAGTAGGCCTCTCCTTTGGACTGACTCTTTATTTTGCTACGTTAATTATGCTTTCTTTTGCTTTATCTTTGTTTTAACCTATTAATTATTCTGTTTGCTTATGCTACCCTCTTGGTTAGACTTCTAGTTAGCTCAACTTTACAGTCTTTACTGGTAAAATATTAGGAAGGGTTCATATTCCATTCATGAAAAGTCCTAATAATCTCTCCAAAGGAACCCGGTCCACCAATACTCGTAGGTGTTTTTTCCTTTTTAATTAGCACAAAGCTTTCTCTTTTCTCTCTGTTCTCTCTATTAGCATATTTTATTGGAGACTAATGATGGTTTTGGTTGCTTCTTTTAGGAATGCTTTCATTAGAGCTGAAGGTGTTTCTTCCAAGAAAATATATAAAAGCTATGTGATTAATTAAGCAAAAAAAAAAAAAAAAGCTTTTTACTATTCAAATTGCAAAACACTAAACTCATATTTTAGTTGCTAAGGTATGATATAAACATCTATGCAAATTTCTCTTAATTATGTGTTTTTGCATGATTTTTTCATGGGACAGTTGTGATCAAATAATCTAAACTTTAGGTGATGATGGAAGGGCACATGAACACCATGCCCTAGAAGATAAGGGCCAATGTGTCCTCACTCCTTAGGGAATGAGGGCCAAAATGGAGTTTAAGGGAGGCCCGTGGGCCCCGCAGGTTCTGAAGCAATGTTATTTGGGGTCACGTGGGAGCGTGGAAGCAAGGAAGGAAGGAACAAAACCCAAACTGCACATGAAAACACATTGATGTTTGGGTTTCTTGACTGGCACGTGCGCATGTGGCCTTCCTTTCTTTTTTATTTATGAGGGGAGGGGCTATGTGGCGCACTTTTAGTGATGACTTTTTGTGATCCAACTTTTGGGTGCATGTATCCATGCCACTTGCTGTCTCTAGATCCGTCCAAAGTTAAAATGAAATGCATTTTCCCCAAAAGGCCAAAACCTTGGCAAAAATTTTATAAATTCCAAAACTAAACAGCAATAGATCCGTGTATCCAAGGATGTTATCTTTTAATTTGATAAACAACTTTTAAGATTGTTATGGGTAGATTCTTGGTCTATATGATGCTTTTATTTTTTGATTTTCAATCGGTGATCAGTTACATTACAAGTCTTTGACTCGAAAGACTACTCTATCTTATATTGTTAATGTTTCTCATCCCATGTAGATGTCATGACTTAAATTGGGTTAGGTTATGTAGTTAAGTACCAAAGTAAACCATCAGTAGTAGTCTGGTGGTAAAGTTGCCTTTGCTTTTAGCCACCAATTAAGAGGTCAATCCCTACTTACTATATTCTAAAAGTTGAGTTAGGCTTTCATGATGTTTGCTAAAGATTAATTACAAAAACTAATCTTTGATAGTTTATATTTGACATTTATGAGGATGTCCTGTACATCTCCCACCATATCATAAGAATGTCTTTCATTTTCATTTTTCTTATGTGCTTAGTTATTTTATCTTGATGATGTTATGGTTCCACTTTCTTTTTTGTGCAAACACTCTTGTGCAATCCCTACTTACTATATTCTAAAAGTTGAGTTAGGCTTTCATGATGTTTGCTAGAGATTAATTACAAAAACTAATCTTTGATAGTTTATATTTGACATTTATGAGGATGTCCTGTACATCTCCCACCATATCATAAGAATGTCTTTCATGTTCATTTTTCTTATGTGCTTAGTTTTTTTATCTTGATGATGTTATGGTTCCACACTCTTTTTTGTGCAAACACTCTTACTTAAATGGTAAATGTTTCCCATGTTTTTAAAACGTGCAATTAGAGGTGGAGACAACGGTTGATTTGAAAGTTAGAAGTACATGATTGGATTTCCTCATATCTGCAGCAGTAGCTTGATGTCTTGTTTTTCTTGACCACAATATAAAACAAGTCTATATTCTCCCTTAATCATATTGTTTTTCATTGCATGAACAGGAAAAATCAGTGTTTAGGAAATTAAGGATGCAAGTTGAGGAGATAAAGCCCTCCCCAGTATCCAACACCATGAGAATGGTACAGCGACGATGTGGTCACCATCAACCACGAGGGCCGCTCATGATCATAGTGTTGTTCTTCGTGTTGTGCCCATGATTTTTTCTTTAACTTTTCCTTTTTGATTAATTAACAATTTTTAATACACCATGGGAATCTATGCTGTAATGGGGTTTGTTTAATTATGCGTTACCTTAATTATTGTTTAATGTAGTGTCCTTTTTGAAAAGAAACAAGAGATCAGAATATTATATGCTGCTGCACAACTTGGCCTTAAAATAATGTTAGTAAATTATAGTGAAGCATTTTGTTCTTTTCAAAAGGTGGTTAGGATGTGTTTGTCAATATGATGGTGATGAGTTTTGAGGTTGTTCAAAAGGAATACAACTAACATGATTAACACCATGGAATTTGGTTGCCTTTTTATCCTTCATCTTTGCTGGCCATGGCCATGCCATCCTGGTCTGGTGTGCCCTGCAAATTCCAAACATCATCTTCCATTTCTTTAAAATCTAATGTTCATCGCCGGAATAGTAAGAAAATTCAATTTTGATTCATCATTAGATGTCTGGTCCTAAAACATATTATAACAGGAGAGGAAATGAAACACAAGTCTTCCCTCTTGCTTGTTAATTAAGCGTTTGTAATTGAATTGCAGAGCAAGTGTTTGATGAAATGCCAAGCCCGAAAGATGATTGTGTTGGCTACTGCAAGTGGTAATAATAAAAAGAAAAAAAAAATTCATCTTTATTATATAAGAGAATTAATGCTCCCCAAAAGTGTAAATAAATAACATGAATGGCTCCAGGGGAACATTGAGCAATCGAAAACAAAAAATAAAAAAGTAAACAAAGAAAAAGGAATTGATTAATTGATCATCCATGGAGACAGACCTTTTTTATCTAATGTTGTGAGACTCTCATTGATGCATATTTTTAGGCTAACATCGTTTTAAAAACAACTAATTAATTTACAATATCTATCGAAGATTTACTGAGATCCAAGACTGCTTTTGCTTAGAAATTTAGTTGCGAAATAATTTATGATTGATAAGCATCACATCCTCTTGTTTTTATATTTTCCATATTAATATTAATTTCCCAAAACCCCTCTTTTGAAAACACATCTCCTACTTTAATATTTGACTTGTAAAATGGTAAATAATAACCTTCTTTCTACCATTAATATATGAATTCACAAATGAAGGCTGCTCCTTGTGTGTTGGAGTATTATTTATTTCAATAAATTTTGTATTCTTTTTGGTAAAGATCAGGCAATAATTATTAAACTAAAATAGTGGAGTTATTGTTTTTATAAAAATGAGTAATATTTTAACCTTATAATAAGAAAATAAGAAGATCCAACTAGGTTCTGCTTATTTTCCTTTTTATATTATGTTGTGGTAAACTTGCTTATCATCGTAGAATGATTGGATGGAAGAAAAAAAATTATCCGAGGATTAGTCTTTTCCCCCTTTGATCTAGAGGATTAGGCTTTCCCCATAACCCCCCAACCTTTCATAATTAATATAAAAGAACATCTTATCATAATATATACAAATAGAAGATATATTTTTTAAAATTACTCATTTCCTGTCTTAAGATATAAATTATAATTTAGAATCTTAAATTTTTATTAGTTAGTGAAACACTTTTAAGAACAAGTAAAATAACATATGTTGTGTGTATAAGTGCACACTCTTTTTTATATCTAATTAGTTTCACCTCAAATTTTTTATATAGTTAAATTTAATCAATGGAAAAATTAAAGATTATGCTAGGAAAGAAATTGGTTTTGTCCTATTATTTGAATTGTTTTTTTAACATTAAGGATTGAAGGATCACAAATTTTCCATGTGAGATGCACACATTAAGCCAATAGTAGTTGATAGGAATGGTGTGTGGAAGAGGAAGCAATTAATTAAGGATTAATTATTAAATTAAAGGAGTTGATTAGAAAAAACAAAGGCGGTGGGGCCTCGGATTTAAGCATAGATTAGGGAAGTTAATTACTTTGTTTCATGTCCGGAAGGCGTGGTTTTGATTGGTGGACCTCGGTATTTTCATTGAGATTACCGAACAGATATTGCTAATTTTTAATTAAGGAAGAGGACAAATTAGGGCATGAAGGCGTGAACTTAGACCCATTGCTAGCATTTACTTGGAAGAATCATTAGTAAGGAGCCTAGTGGCATCAATTATTTGAGTTGGTCAATTATCTTAACGAGCATAACTATATACGGTTCTTCTTAGCTAGCAAGTCACATTTCACACCTCATTAATGGTTTTTTTTTTTTTTAAATTAACCACACTCCCATGTTAACATAAGGCATTGATGAAATATCAATATATATATGTATGTATGCATGGGTTATTAATGTCAATGTATCCTAACAATCCAAATGGTAATCTCATTTTTTTTTTTTTGGATACATACTGATCTTATTCTATTAAATACTTGTACCAATCATTTTTTTAAATTTAAATAATATGATATGTATAATTGACGTATTCATAGAAGCATCTTGTTATATGTCAAAGATCAAAGTCTTTTTCACTTGTTTTTTTCTTTTCTAAAATCAAACATACTTCCAGCATTAATTAATCAGGATTTTGGACAAATTTGGGCAAGGTTGTAAAGAGAAAGTTGTTATCAAGCCCAATTAAGAATTAGTAAAAAAAATTTATCAATTAGGGTGGATTAATTGTTGAAGCAATTGACTTAGTATGGGCAGGCATGACTTAGGCTTTATTGTCTCCGTTCATATGAAAAATGGACATGACTTGGATCATATTTAAACAAATGTTAAATGTTAAATTTGGTCCTTGAACTTTGCCTCAATACACTTTTTTGGTCCTTGAGTAATTTTTTGTGCTTTTTTGTCCCTTAACTTCATAATTTGCTCTCTTTTTTCATCCTTTTATATGACACATTAAATTGATTAAAAGTTTTTTTTTTTCAAAATTTGTAATGACATGTACATACTTAATAAGGTCTTTCTCGTTCATGTGTACAAAATTACTTAGTTGAACCAAAAAACTTTTGATCTTCCTCTCCCATTCTTCTCTCTCCTCCTCTCATTTCTCTATATGTTCTTCTTGCAGTGGATCTTGACAATGACAAATCATCATCGTTCTCTCATTTTTTCTTAAAATTTTGAAGAAAATGAATTTTTTAATATATTTAATTGGTCACATGGACTTGCACTAACGGAAGGACAAAATAAGTGCTCATTATCAACTTAATTAAGGGACTACAAAAACGCAAAAAATTGTTCAAAGATCAAACAAGCCGATTAAGACAAAGTTGATGGACCAAATTTAGCATTAAACTTTAAACAAAAAAACTGCATATATCTGGGAAATTAATTAAGGAGAAAGCTAAGAGGTGTTTTGAAGTAGTCCCACTCCTAGGGCAGAGACCGGGGAGGATGTAAGGGAATCCCATGCAAAGGAAGAAAAGGTCGCGGCAATGCTTGCGGGGGTTGCATTGCACCCCGTGAATCTGGGAAGGGTTTGGTCTGAATCCAGACAAAGTTTAACTCAAAAACTGAAAGTTGAATTTGACTGGTGGCAATAAGTCTTATTAATCTGTCCTTGAAAGATCCAACTATTCTGCCCCAAATCCTCCAACGTCTCCATCACATGTCAAAAACCCTTTTCTTCGTTTTTTCGTCCGTGTCTAAATTTGTTTGTTTGTCGAGCCTGAGCATGTGCACGATGTGCTGGCACTTGAAACTCACCTCAAATTCGGGGGGTTTTTTCTAGGTTTGGGATAAGACCTAGGTTTCCTGCCATTTATTACTTGCTCTCTTTTCAGTAATAATTATTATACAGACCTACATACGAGGTTGGAGTGTTTACTTACTCCATATCTACCAGTATTTTTTTTTATTTAAAATTTATATTAAATTTTAATTAATTTAAAATTAAATTACCTTATATAAGGAACAATTCTTTTTATATTTATGTTTTTTATTTATAAAACTTAAACTCAAAATATTATTTAAGAGAAACTAAATTTTTTTACTTATATCAACAAATTATTGATCATATATACGAATATTACCATAACATAAAGTAATAAAATAATTTTAATTGTATTATTGATGAAAAAATTAATTTGAATAATTCTATTTGCAATTCATGTAATAGTTCATGTGTGGATCAATTAAAATATTAGAAACTTACAATTCAAATTAAATCTTAAATTATCAATAATATTATAGTTATAATACCAT